ACACAGTCTCCTGCAACGACCCGTCCCCTTCCCTCAGATAAGTCGCCCGTAGTGTTGACTAAAACGACTGTTCATAGTGAAGGTGAGAGAGGGAGTCAGAAGAGAACGGTGGAAACCCCTTAGGGGACACTGTAGTAGTGGGGATCGGATTTTGTTGTCTTTCGGTACGAGACTTTTTTGTTATAATCCCTACGCTGTATAACTCAAAGATTCGCCTATGTCTGTCGGTTTTTCCTGGATCGAAAGAGTACCCCGATAATGCCTATTCTCTTTTAGTATTTGAAATAAATTTCATCACCAGGTCGCCCAACTGCTGGCGTTAGGTTTTGTTTTTATGTAAAATTAGACTTCAGTTGTCTACCTCAAAAACTCAATGGTTTTTTGTCGGTGCATTTTTGAGATTTTGCTGAGGATTTATTGTTTTTACTGGTTATTAATAATTAATATGCAGTATGAAGAGCAGTGTTTTCACTAAGCTCGGAAACAAGGGTATTTCTTAGAAGATATTGAAAAATTTGGGACACTAAGTACTCTGACACACACACACACACACACACACACACACACACACACACACACACACACACACACACACACACACACACACACACACACACAAAACATTCACATATGCACACACGACTTACTGCCATGCACTGACTCCCAGGGCTGTTTAGACGTAAAATCTCCATGGCAATAACCCCCTCTGCTCAACCAGGCGTTCATTGTTTATGCATGCAGAACATGCAACGGTTGAGTCATCCTAATGAGACGGTGTGAAGGGCAGTGGAGCTGACTGGTGCCCCGAACACTTCCATGCACTTGACTTTAGTCGGTGTTGTCTGGGGACTGGACAGAGGCTGAGGAGGGGGGGGGACCAAGAGGCTTAAGTGCATCATTAAATGTCTCTGCCTGTTTAACCCGCCATTGACCAGGCCTTAGCCACAACCATAGATTATCATTAACCAATAGAAAGGAGAAGTGTTCCTTAGGCGGTTTATTGTCCAGCTAGATTCAGGGACATCCATCTTGTTTTTTTAAATGTGTGTGTGTATTTGTGTGTGTTCCAACAGCACTGCATGCGGCCTCCCTGTCAGGCCATGTGAGCACAGTGAAGCTGCTGCTGGAGCGGGGAGCGATGGTCGACTCTTTGGATGTAATGAAACACGCGCCGCTGTTTCGGGCTTGTGAGATGGGACACAGAGATGTCATTCTCACACTCATCAAAGGTTAGTCTTGTAATTGGTGCACAGTTGTTGCAAGCGTCCTGATAACTATATAATATCCGTTTCAGTACCACAGTGTTTTAAGTATACATTATTATTTATTTATGAAAAAAGGTTCTGCAAGTGTGGACCTGGTAGACGTGGATGGTCACGCTGCGTTGCATTGGGCAGCTCTTGGAGGCAATGCTGAGGTCTGCCAGATACTCATGGAGAATGGGATCAGTCCCAACGTACAGGTATTAATGCGTACACTCAAAACATACGCATACACCTCTGGTACAAAGCACTTCTGTTTCTTTAAATCCCTTTTTGATGCTCACCATTCACATATACATATTCTTAATAAGATATTCAAGTCATTTTTCTTGTTTTCCATCCTTAATCCTTGTTTATTGCACTAGAACATTTACAGTTTAGCAAAAGGAATCCCTAGGGGTCATTTGAAATCAATCTAGTCAAAATGAGATGTTCTCACCATCCATCTGTTGCACTTGTCCATCTGTATACGCCCACATTTGATGGCAATGAATACTACTACATTTCAATATATATATAAATGTAAACCCTCATTTGATATGAAAAACAGCTTTAGCATTCTGTAAGTTTTGGCTGCACCACACAGGGAAATCTATCCACTGAACATAGATTGCAGATTTGTCGGCTCTAGCAGCATGTCCAGTATAAATCAAAGGATAAATGTGGAAATGAAATCCTCCTCTGCATTGCTTTACGAGCAGTGTGTATAAAAGCAGGGAGAAGCTCTTAAAGGTCACCTATTATGCAAAATCCACTTTTTCATGTCTTTTCTACATCAACATGTGTCCCCTCTGTGTAAAGAGCTTCTTAAAGTTTCAGGAAAAAAGATTCGCTCTCTTTTTGTCCTGATCCATTTATATAAAAACCTGTCTGAAAATGAGCTGATCAGATTTTTGGCCACTTTGTGATGTCATAACGATTTTTTGACTTGTGTAACTGTTAGCCAATCAGCAACCAAAGTAATCCCCGCCCACCTTATCACCTGAATCTCCTCCTAGAGCACCATTGTGTTCTTTTTAACCAAATATCTCTCAGAGGGGCGTGGCTCCTTATTTTCATTTAAAGTAACTGACAGAGAATCAGCACTTTTGAAACAGGGCTGAAACAGAGGGGATTATGGGATGCTGCAATGCAGGATCTGTTTGGTATTTCGAGGCCAAACACTTTAGAGACATGTTTTGTATATATCTGAGACATATAATATATTGATGAAAACCAGTACCTTTAAATCCTGAGCTATTTTAAATTGTCCTGCGCCTGACTGTTAAATATGTGACTTCTCCTGGGTAGGACCAGGCAGGACGGACTCCTCTGCAGTGTGCTGCTTATGGCGGATACATCACCTGCATGGCTGTGCTCATGGAGAACAATGCTGATTCAAACATACAGGACAAGGAGGTAAAAAAAGCATATATATGTGAGCTATGTTGAGATTTTGGACACAACTGTAGTTTGAGTAAGTGCTTTTTTTGTATGGGTGCAAAGGGGCGGACCGCTCTCCACTGGTCATGTAACAATGGCTACCTGGACGCTGTGAAACTGCTGCTGGGATACAACGCCTTTCCTAATCACATGGAGCACACTGAGGAGAGGTGAGAGCCTGTCACGAGGAAGGATCAGCGGGTGAGGAGAGGGTGAAACACATGAATGACTGTGGGGTTTGTGTTGTGAAGGTACACCCCTCTGGACTACGCTCTGCTGGGGGGGCACAGTGAGGTGACTCAGTTCATGCTGGAGCACGGCGCTCTGTCCATAGCAGCCATCCAGGACATTGCTGCTGCCTCCATCCAGGCGGTCTACAAGGGCTACACCGTCCGCAAGGCCTTCAGGGAGAGGAAGCAGCTCTTCATGAGGCACGAGCAGCTGCGTAAGGATGCAGCCAAGTGAGAGAGGAGCACACACACCTACACACTTCCATATTTGTGTATATAGACATACAAAGGCCACACATGAAGCGAAGCATCATGATCACTCACTGCTGTTTCTGTCTCCATTATCTGTCTCTGTCTTCTTCTTCTCGCCCCCATAGGAACAGTCACACTCTCTTCATATCTATCTTTCTCCCTGTCATCCCTGCACACACATACATCTTCCCCCTGTCTCTCTCTCCTGGCTTCTTCTCCTGTTGCCATTTGCTCACCAGTCTCACCTTTATTCTGTCTTACATAACGCTTGATTTAAACTCTTCTCATTATTTCAAGCAGGAAGTTTTATTGAGTCTTGATGATGTGTTTTTCAAATAAACAACAACAAATATCTCACCTTCTTATTAGGGCTGCTCGATTATGGCAAAAATCATAATCTCGATTATTTGGGTCAATAATTGTAATTGCAATTATTAAATGCGATTATTCATTGACTTTGAAAACATCCATTTATTGGAGAGAAAATAATGTGAACAGTATGCTTTTAACAGTTGATTACCCTGAACTTTAAGTATAATTCAACAGAAAAACCCAAAAAATATATATTTAAAAAAAAAAAGTAATAATAAAAAAATAATCGTTTTATTTCAATTACGTTGTTTTCGTAATCGTTGCAAGCCATAATCGTAATCGCGATTAAAATATGATTAATTGAGCAGCCCTACTTCTTATCTTATCATATTTCCGATTTCCTGATTGATAACCAAGCTGTGAGCCATTTTTCTTGCTCGACGACTAAAACACATAATTTTTAAACAGTTTTTAACAATTTTATTGAGTAGTTATAACATAGCTTAAATGCATTAGCCTAAGACCGCGATTAGACCGAGCGCTTTTCTTTTTGTCAAGGAAACGAGGAGAAGAAGAACAGCGCAGGAGAGAAGCTGTGCAGCTGGTCTCTGTGGACGCTGCAGAGAAGAGAAGGGGCCCTTTGGTGAAAACAGAGCAGGACCAACTTGTGAATATTATAGAGGACTTATCCATAAATGACTCTGTGGTGGAAAAAAAGAGATCATCAAAAGCTGAACGCACCAGAAGCAAAGAGGAGAGACTCAAAGGTACAAAAGTGTCTTTCTCATTTGAGCATGCAGTATGAGCGGTTATATAAACTGACAAAATGACAAAATGCTAAAAACTCCAAGAAGATTATATTTAGTTGGAATACAAAGCCGCTTTTCTACAAGTAGACGCAAAAAAAGGGCCAGCATTTTAAAATATAACCTCTTTGATAACTCATGTCTTCTTTTTATCCCACCAACCCAATAGCCCACAAGAGCAAATCCTCCAGAAAAAGTAAAGCATCTGAACCACATGAGGTTCATGATGCTTTGATCCGCCACTGTCATGTGCCCGGTGCTCTCCAGACCACCAGGCTGAGGGAGCTTCTCTCTCCTGCCGTCTGCAGCCCGCCACCCAGCCTCAAACCCCGACCCCCCTCCACGCCCAGAGTCAGGGAACGCCCCTCTTCAGGCACGTGCATTCCTTCCATCAGAGTCGCAGGGACAGACACTATTAACAGAGAATGCATCCCTCTGAGAAAGAAAGATGCTCACATGACTGTGCACACTGCCGCTGGCAAGGATGATGCTCCCACTGCTCTACAAAAGCACAGAAACCACAAAGAGCAGACTTCAGAAAAGGCCGCCACCAAAGACCAAACTCTCATTCCCTCATTAAGAGGCAGTTCATCTTTAGATCATAAAAGCCCCTCAATAGAGACTCAGTCTGCCACACAAGCACCCATCTCAACACGCACGCACAAGGAACACAACAAAGAGCAGCGCAGGCGGAGGAATGAGGCTGCGTGCATCATCCAGCGAGCATGGCGGAGGTGAGTTTACGTGTGTGTGTGTGTGTGTGTGTGTGTGTGTGTGTGTGTGTGTGTGTGTGTGTGTGTGTGTGTGTGTGTGTGTGTGTGTACCTGGAGGGGTGTTCAGTAGCCGAAGCCTCTCTGGCGGTGGGAGATTGGCAGTGCCATGTGGTGCCCACATGTGCACTCTCCCACATACAGTACATGCCACCTTCTCATCTCTCATGTAACCCCCCCCCCTCGATCTTCGGTCTGGATGCCATCAACACTTGAGCAGTGGGGGGGACAGCGTGGGAGAGGGGTGAGACAAGGAGGCAGGGGACAGACAGGCTATAATTTCGAGCTTTCATACCGGTTTAACAAGAGGCTAAAAGTTCAGCCGTGCTGCTCTAATAGCTACCAGCAGCCTCTCTTTGCTTTTCTCTCCCTTTTACGCACTGTGTTCCTCTGAGAGGCTGCCCGTCCGCAGCGGGAGGCCCTCTGTTTCCATTCAGCTTCACCATTATATTCTGTATGTGCTGACTATTAACTGCCTTGAATAAACTTTGTTTACTTTGTTTATGCTTGGTGAATATTACTGTGAGGATTTGCCAGCTTTTAAACCTTTGAACACAGTCTGAGTTATTTTTTATTTAACATTGTGTATGTGCGTCTCCAGGTTCCACACACGCAGAAGGAGGAAGGTACAAGCCTGCGAAGAGGCGGAGTCAAGTGATTCAAACCACGCCCACAAAGGGAAGAAGATGGACATCCGAGCCCAACCCGCCAAACTGTCAGCGAGTAAGAGCTCAGTTCTACAAAGTATCTACGGTAAGATCACTGGGTTTTTTGTGTTGCGCGCACAAACCAAAGATAAATAAAAAGATATACAAATTCAACAGGGTTTCTACATACATTGTGTGGAGGAAACCTCTGTGTAGCAGGAGGAGTCACCGACTCAAAGGAGACACGGGGAGAGCTGGAGCTTTGATGGCAAACGCTGATGGGTTTATTTGGAGCTTCGGCCGGAGAATTCACAAAACAAGAGTCAGAGGTTCTGACTTCACGACAGAGTTGCCACGTCAATTATGAAGAACTCTACCCCAGACCCATGTATTTAGTCCAGAGAGAATAATCAACATTGTGCATAACAAGATAGAATGATAACACCTCAATCAGCTGACGCCAACAGCCAGGAACAGGGAGACAAAACACTGAGAGCACATCAGCCAAGGTTACAGGTGCGTGTGCTCAGTCAGGACAGTTTGACATGGGTCAAAGTTATGGGCCTTGGAAAATATTTCCCCAACGCATTGCAAGAAGGGATCAACATCAAACAATTTAACTTCAGCAAGATAAAATACTTTTGATTAAAAAAGAAACATTTCAAACAGTAGTAAATATGTTCAACTTCTTGTGGTGTTTATAAGTAACTCCCTTCCTAAACAGGAATTGTTTTTTGATATTCAAATGTTTGTTTTTGATCATTAGGAATCAAAAATCAGGCCCCAGGGAGAATTGAACTCCCGACCCCTGGTTTACAAGACCAGTGCTCTAACCACTGAGCTATGGGGCCCTGTGAAGGAGCTCCTATTTGATTAATGTTATAAAGTCACCTTGAACAATCATGGGTGTGGATCCTGACAAGTTCAACAAGTTAGAGGAGTGTCCTGAGCTTTGTTATGCAGCACCGGGTGACTGAATAGGGAGATTCAAATGACATGTTACTTCTTAGACATCACATGACGTTACTACAGGGTTTTATTTTCCCTGGGCAACCCTATGCCCAGT